GAAGTGAGAAGTTCCATATTTAACTGCTGTTAATTACTCTTTTAAACTGAACAGGTTTGAATCAAGTGAGGATCACTGCACTCTCTGCAAACTCTGCCTGAATCTCAGCACCAAGCTGCTCTTCCTGGGTTTCACCCAACCAACAGTAAGAGAGATGCTGGAGTAAGAACATGGCTGACAATTTTATGAAGATACAAGATGCAGAAGTGTCTCCATTTCTTTCTTTCTTCCCTACAATTGGTCTGCAGTGCTGAGATGAGTATTATTTTGTTTGAGTCAGTAAGACACTCAAAGAATAGATAGGCAATTTAAGAGAAGGGATATTTTCCACAGTCTATTTTCAAAATCATAACTACACGTCATTTATCATCATCATGACCTGCCAAGAAGAAAGCAGGTCCCATGAAAAGAGAGTCAGGAACTGTTCCAAACAGTTCTATCTTCTTTCCAGGTGTTCCTATACTCCTAAGCCTGAAGCAGTACCCTGCCAGCTTGCTCTGGTCATTGCTCTGCTTTTTAATGGATTGATTAAAAAAATACAATTCAGTTCACCAGATGCAGAAACACGGTTACTCTGTTGTTAAGCAGCAAGACTCCAAGGGCAAACCCCGTTTTAGCTCTTGCCACAGGATTCGGTGCACAAGAAAGAATAATAAAAATAATAGAGAGGCAACCTGATGTACTCATTATGGCCTCACATTTTTAAATAGCTTTACAGGATGCAGCAAATACAAAGCCAAATGTCTGGAGCCAACTTGAAAGACTTAGGTTTGTGTTGAACGTGTTTTGTTTTGTTTTGTTTTTAATAGTAGGCCTATAAAATACTGGTAGGGAAACTCCAGAAGGTTTGATGAGTTAAACCAGATGCTTTCTTGAAGCTTATCTAAATCACTTTGCCTGGATTGAGCTCTTGCACTATATTTCTAGTTTCACATGAGTGAGAAATATTTTTTTAAAAAAAATCTCTTCGGTTACTTCATTTCCTCTGTTACTTGTCCCAGCCAAAAGCTATAGGGCTGGAAAATCACCTAAAAGATTAGGGATGGAGGAAGAGAAATAAATGCTTTCAACCTTCAAGACAGTTTAGGCTTAGGGTAGCTGAAAAATGTGTGTGAAATATGAAGTTAGTTCTTATTTTACCTACAGTTCTTGCCTATCTCTGACTTTAAGCATGTTGAGTGCAATTCTGCTCCCACTGCAAATAATGACAAGACTTCTATCTGCTTTGGAAGGATTGGGCTCATAGTAGTAGCGATGGAACGTGTGAAAGAACTGGGAAACAGTTTTTATGAGAAGAGGACATCATTATGGATGTAGACACAGTCAGGCACATGCACACACAACTGATGGGTATCTGCCTCCACAAATTAATCCTGGGTAGACTTACAGGGATCAAAACAAATGTCAATTGGAAGGTCTGGCTTACATGGCAGAGTGGCCAACACATAACTCTGAGGGCCATTTTTGAACAGTTTTTGTTATGAAAGGCAGGATCAGTATATTCAGAGACTCAGAAACCAGAATGTCAGAAGTCATGATTGGCAAACTTTGTACAGTATCTACTACCACATTTCTTCCAAGCAGAAAACTATGTTGTTGTCTTCTGGGAGTCTATTGAGTCTGTACAGGAAATTTCCACATCTACTCTTCCATCAGATTTCCATATCCACTGTTTTACATTTATTGTTCATGCATTATTGTCCTTTATGAAAATGACATCCTGATTTGTACATTTAAATGGGAGCGTGAGAGCAAACTTCAGAAGTTAGGGCAAGAGAATATATATGGAGCATTAATAAGATACAAAAAAAAAAAATGCAGGAGAGCCAAACGGCAGGCGGTACATTCTTCCACGGATATTTTGGAAGGCTGCAAATGACTCAGACCCTCTATATTTTATTACAGACAGAGCACATGCAGTTCCTGGAATGCCTAAACTGAGCTCTCTTGGTGCTTTGCTTCCCACACTTGGCCTTCTGTACATTAAACACATTTTCTTTAGCATTTCATCTGGTTGCTCTTTGTGGCACAGCTCTACTTTTGGTAGTAACGTAAGAGGGAGCATGTACAGGGAGAGGCTCGAGTTTGAATTATCTTGTTAGACAAAACCACTCTGGACAAAGCCATGTTGCCAAGCCCTCAAAGAACATGCCACCACCTCAGAAACTCAGGACCTCACACACACACACATACACTTTTGGGTTCCTTTATATTTGCCATTTGTTTTTTTTTGATCCTTTGGGGTTATATTTTTAACTTCTTTTCCACCATCATAAAGGTTAGATGCTTACCTTCTTCTTTTGAAGAGAAGTGGAGATGATCACATGACTCCAGAAGCTGCAGAATGAAAAAGAAACATTAGATATCATGAGCCAATTTTTTTAAACTTTATTTATCAATGAATCCAACCCATAAAAATAACAGATTTAACATTTTAAAATATATCCAATCCCCCAAAATATATACAAAGAAAGACTTAACGTTTATTAGCTGGGCTACCACAACTCAAATGAATGTCCACGGAAGTTTTGTTCCCTTCCTCTCCTCCCCCAGCCTCCAACAGTCCCTCAGTGTTCCCATCAGTGCCAAGCCCCTATGTTTCTTCATCTCTAGACCATAATTTACCTCCTCCTTTTCCCTATAACCCTACATATCACAAATCTCATTATCTTTTTCTCATCTCTGCTTTTAATTTCTAAATTTCTTCTAAATATGTTCTTAAGTGTTCACTCAGAACTTGCAAAAAAGTTTTATAAATTTTCTGTTTTGGAAGCAGGAAGAGATTCTTTTCTCGGCAAATTCCAAAAACGTCCAACAGCTTTCCAAAGATGCATCTCTTGTTTCACCCCCTGTAGCACACTGACTTGATAGGAAAGCTCTCTCGTTATTAAAACTTCCCCGACTTTTTTAAACCAGTCAGGGGTTCTAGGGGTGTCAATTCTCTTCTGGGTTCTTGCAATTGTAATTCTTACAGAAAGTGATCAATTTCCTAGGACACACGTATTGCAGAGTTCTCAGGAAGGTTGAGTAAGAATACTAATGGGTTAGCTGATAGTTGGCATCCTGTTATTTCCCTCACTACATCTCCAACCTTCTTCCAGAAGAGCTTAATAAGGGGACACCTCCACCACATATGATAGAATCCTCTCAACTAACCACATTCGCTCCAACATTTCCCTGTTGCTATAGCATAGTTTAATTTTAAGTGGGGCAAAATGTTTTAGTTGGATGGAAAAAAAGGCTAATGTAGGCAGGCCCTTCAGAGGACCAGGGTCTTGCAAGCCTCCCAGTGAAAGCAACAGGAGTGCTATATATGGCAGGCCCTACATGACAAGGCCCTATGTTTCTACTCTATGCAGAGCTTAAGTTAAGTGAATACATCCTGCTGTAAATACTTAAGCTTGTAGTCATGCTGTCTGGTTTAAAACACTTAATTACACAGGCTATGATGCTGCCCTTCCATAAGCCCCATAATAAGCATTTGGTTTGAGGTCTTGAAGCAGCTCAGCAGCCAGTTTGTGTCCCCTCTTCCAAGAAGGGGAATTTATCACATAAAAGACATTAGAACATAACAGAAACATATTCTCTCAGCTTGGGGGTGCCTTACCCAGCTACACATTCTGAGAACAGCTCTGAAAATGCCCCACTTCTTTTCTTGAAGTACCTTCACTTCCTCTATAGCAGCTGAATGAACCATAATTGCTATTAACACCTCATTTATCATAGGAAGAATGAGCCTCTGTACCTGCTTACCAGCCTATTCCTTGAATGGGCTATATCCTTTATTAGTTGGCTGTACTTAATCAAGTAGGATTACTAATGGATGGTAGATAATTAGTAGGTGCAATTTGCTTTGTTAAACAGATGGGAAACCTATCGCCAATCCCCTCTCCCAACCTTAAAAATTGGGACAGTTTTAAAAAATTTGAGTTAAAATATAAATCCCATGATTTTCCAATTGTATATTAGGTTTTTCATATCCTTCTAAGCCCAACTAATAAAACAGCCTGGGGTACCTTATTTTACTCTCTCTCTTTGTGAAGATGGACAGGCCTCTTAATTGCAGAAGAACAGGGACAGAACAGGATGCATTTTATTGGCTACTCATAAAGCAGATGTATTTTCCAGTAGCATGACAGGTGTTTTTGTAATCTGGAGTACTGTGTATCTCTTCATGCCTCATTGTTTGGCAGGTATACATCTCAGTCCTCAGTTTAGAGTTCCACATTGTTACTGGCTACATATTTTGTAATATGCTATTTTGGTATTAACACGCAGCAAATTTTCCTTCCCTCATGGAAAAATCCAACAGAATTTTAGTCATTATGAGATACATTCTGCTTTTCTTGCTAACACTGCATAAACAGGAAAAAATAGCTCTGCTGAGATCAATGAATCAGGGTAGAAAATACTGATGAGCAAATTAGGGTCAAGAACAATAGCATTCTACAGAAATTAAAAAAGCTTGAGATACACCTGTATTAATGCTGCATTTGCAAATGGTTTCTCAAGGGCTAATGATCATTAGATTGTTTTAATATATTATCAGCTGTTAAACAGTTCAACAGATCAACTGTTTTTTTATAACCATGGCTACATCACCATGTATCACATAACCTACTGATGATCTCAAAATATGCTATGATACAGACAACTATGATTGCACCATCTATTCATACTTTATTAGTTCTTAACAAACTATTTGCAAAATAGCACCTCAATAGAAAGTACAACTGAAATTCTAAAATACATGATAACCCTGTTTATGGATATTTTCATATTAAACCATGTAAGAGAACAAATATAGAATTATTTTCCCAATTTGGACTTATATGGACAAAATTCCATGAATTTTTTTTTTTTTTTGGTTCTATTCTATCTTCAGCTTACATAGATGATTTTAGTACAGCCATAGTAATTTATAAGAGATGATCTTACAGGGCAGCTGGGACTTTTTAGCTATAAAATAGGTTATGATTTCCTACAGCTTGGATCTGTGGGAAGCAACATGAGCAGTGGCTCTACAGGAGTCATTTTGGGGCTTGCCTTAAAACAGTATGTAAGTTCTTTTTTCCTTTCTCTTTCTCTCTCTGTTTGTACTACTGCCCTTTTTTCATTGTCCCACTAAAAGTATTTCTGTCCTCATTTGCATACCTTTGGTTGTTTCATATTTCCATTTTTAAATTTATTTCTGATACTAATGCCTTTCTTGGAAATACGATGTCAGCTCAGGAATTTTTGCATTAATCTGAATGAAGGATTTATCAGTTATCTGACATGAAGTGACCCCACCTCTTTCTACATGCTTGGAATATCCTTCATGTGCCCCATACATCTTCAGAATCCCATCAACCCTGCCCTTAAACCCCTCCTCAATATTCCTTACAAATATCAGACAGAATCCTGAATTGCTTACTTGGGTATCTTTGACCTCTCAAATAGTTCTTTTAAAGTCAGTGAGCCTAGTTGCCCAAGTAAAGATTAGGGCATCGGGCCATTACCTGATAAATGGGAAGATATTTATCTATTTGAGCGGTGGTAATGCATAGGGAGTGCACGGGGGTGCACGTGCACCCCCTGAGAGCACTGATGCACACCTTGACAGGCCGCGCTCTCCACTTAGGCAACGGGCAGGGGGTGCAGGCGGGAGTGCTGGTAACCCCCCCTGTGAGTAGGAGTGCTGGATATAGTGCCACAGCCGCTTCCCGGTCAGTGAGTTTTGCCGTAGGGGGCCCCCTCGCCCCGGTTAGTGAGTTTTGCTGCAGGGAGACTCCCCCTGGTCACTGACTGGTCGTTGAGGGGGTATGTGCCTGCCCTGACTAAGGTGGCACCAGTTGCCCATGTATTTGAGTGCATCCATTTTCTTCATAACGCACCACTACAAAAATGGAAAATGTAACAAATGGATTAGGGGAAAGAAGATCACAGCAGAGGTAAAAAATGAGCAGGACACTGGAAAAAGAGTCAAGGAAACACACATTTATACAATTTCTCACGCTCACGTTAACTGCTCCCCACTGTCCATCTCATATATTTTCCAGCAAGAGTATTTTCTAGTGGTGGAATCCAGAAAGCAGCAGGAAACATCTAGTCTGATTCATGTACTCTCAGATCCAATAGCCAATTTTATAACTGAGCCAGTGTCCTCTGAGGATTAACTGTCTGCTTGTCCAAAAGTCTCTTAATGGGCTCAGCAGCAAAGTGAGTTGGAACTTTCTACACTATGCTCCACGCTGCCATTAAATAGGGGCTAAACATACCTTTAGCTTGGCAGAAGTTCCCCACTTTCCTTTGAGAGAGAGAGAGATGTACCGGCAGACTAAAGCCTCCTACAAATTTCCTTGCAGATGGTGAATTTCTCAGGTTACCTGATCTTGCTTTATTTATTAAACGAGCATCAAATTCTTCAAACTGAACTTAGTATTTTTTTTACTAGGGCAACTGTTGACAAATCAGCCTGCTCGCCCCAAGTATGCAAAACAAGAGAGTCATCATTATTCCAGTGTTCAGTAAAATTAATTATTAGCATGCAAGTCATCCTGAGAGACGCCTGTTAAGGATTAGGGCCCCACGGCACTACATGCCATGCAAAGATGCAGTAGAGAAACAAATGCCTTGAGGTTGGAGCAGAAGAGGACTGAGGTAATTGCATGAGCATGTTTGTTTTTGTTTTTTTTATGTAGACCAGCTATATGAACAAAATAGTTCACCAGCAGCCAAACTGTCATCAAATGACAATGGTTTATCAGGCCAAGCTCTTCTTATGCAGAACAGCTCTTTTTTTCTCTTTCAGTGACCATACCATCGTGAGTTTATGTTACTTCAGTTAGTGTGCCAGGTCTGTTAGCTTAAAGTAGACACTTAAATCTCTATGTGGTATCTAGGTAGTTCTGCATCTTGGGATGGCTTTCACAGTGTATTTCACTTGCTTAGGAAAAATTCAGTTTTCCCTGAAGCACATGTTTTAATTCATTATAGACCTATTTAGGAAACATTTCACTTGATGGATTTGCTTCCTCTGGGCATGGAGCTAAGAAATGCAATGTTAATAGATTCATAAATTTATGTTTTACCATACAAAATGACAGTTGCAGGGGAAGAGAGACTACTGTACACATGCAGGGCTTGATCTTATTCTTCTTGCAGTAAGTTATGTTTTCACTGTTATCTTCCAAAAAGCCATGCCTAAAGTCATAGGAGCATAGGAAATTAGGGCTGGAAGGGACTTCACAAGGTCATCTAGTCCAGCTCCGTGTTCAAGGTAGGATCATCCCTGACTAAACTATCCCAGCCAAATATCTGTCAGTAGAGCCTGGAAAGTACAGTAGTGTAACTAGGCTGGCAACTGCTTCTGCTGCAGCCTTGCAGTTGCACTGACAGCACAGCAGCAGTCAGAAGTTGGCACTGCCCCTGTGTGTCACAACTGCCCCAGGTGCCTGGCTGCATTGTTATGCCTCTGGCAGAGTGCTTCACAATCCTTTGAGACGCAAGACTTGCTGAAATGTATCTGGCGCTACTATTCTTTCTGTACTACAGCTGTATTTCTTTTCTTTCTGTGGTACTCCCAGATCGTTCTTTAGATGCTCAGAATTTATTCCTGGTCTTCCCCTCTCCATAATCCCTCTGATAAAATATGCCAGCAGCTCAGGTATCAGACGTGATAATAAACACTTGCTCACCATTGGTATTGTGGTTGTGGCAAAGCTGAAGCTAAGAGCCTTTTCCACTCCCATAATATCCAATGGATTATATTCAACGGTCCTCTTGCTGGTTTTGTTGTGTTCCTTTGTTGTAGTGGTGACTGGCACTGCTTCTAGAGGAAATGTAGTTACTATATTGTTTCAGTTTTTTTGAATGTCAGTGAATAAATATATTGTTCATGAAAAGAGCTGGACTTTTCAGCCTTACATCTTCTCTTTAGCCATGCAGCACACAGATAACAGTTGTATGAGCTTCCCTGCAGCCCCCAACCAAAGTGTCAAAATCCTGACTCAGGAGGACTTTAAGCAGGAGAGTGTAGTGTAGTTTACTTCCCCCTCCTGCCCAGACTGCCAATACCAGTGCCAATTCTGGAGAATGATTTGCAATATGAATGTGTTGACAGTTAGTCAAAATTATACAAACAGCTCATTTTACATGAGCAACTGCACAGTTGGAGCATCAGCTTTTCTCACTGACTAATGTACAAACATATTGTATTCCCACTGAAGATGAATCAGACCCACAGGCTGCATTTCAGCTAGGGTCCTATCTTATACAAGCCTCTCTGAACCAATATCATTTAAAACTACTCCCCTAATTATAATAAAAACCTATCCCAGGCTCTATCTTGACATGCCAAGTTGCAGGGTAAAAATGCACTTTTTTATCATAAAACACTCTAGAGCAATGGTTGTCAACCTTTTTAGGTTCAAGGCGGCCGTCAGTAGACTCAAGGAAGGCACCCCTCTACAGAATCAAGGCACCCCACAGAAAATGTAAGCTCTTAGCTTTTACTAATTTTTTACTACAAAAAATAATATAGCAATTCTTCTGTTGCAAAGAACTCAGAGACCGTGTCCAGGCAAGTACGGCCGTTCAGTATGTGGCACCACAGACTCGTCCTCCCCCTGCTGCCCTCCCACTTGGGGCTCCATTGCCCAGCAGGAGGGACCTCATGTGGCAGATTGCACTGCTACCGTGGTCATCAAACTGAGGTGTCCCCTGCCTGCCTGGCAGCAGTAGGAGCACAACTCTGTGCTGCTACTGCCATGCCTTGTCTTGGCAGTCATGGTGGTGCAGCACTCCCTCTCGTGCCAGGTCCCACCCACTGGGCTGCAGAGGCAGCTCCTGCCTGGAGCTGGTCCAGCCTGGCTCAAACACCACACCTTTCTGTGGGTGCAGAAATCTTGGGGAGGGGGGGCAAATACCCCCTCTGTCACGTTGCCTTAGCCCCCCTGCCCCTCTCTGTTGCATTGCCTCTGCTCCGTGCCCCCCCACCCTGCCATGTTGCCTATGGGCCCCCGCAACCCTCCAACTCATTGCATTTGTACCCCGGATCCCTTATGATGCCATCCACTGATGTTGCAACCCCATTTGGGGTTGCAACACACAATTTGGGAACTGCTGTTCTAGATGCACTACAAAGTCTCATCCCTCCAAGCAGGGCTGAAGGGTGAAGAGCTGGGGTTTATTAAGAAAATAATATTACCCCTCAGATTCCTAATGGATGTGGGGGTGGTCAGTATGTTGGAACTTGGCTGCTGTTTTGCTTTGCTTTAATATAAGCATGGGCAGACTGCGGTTAAAACACCAGTCCTCCGATTCACAAATGATAAGAAAAGATCCAGCTATGCAGGTAAATTGAGACAGAGTGCTGAGCATGTTCATGTCTGTATTTATATGTGATGGATCCCATTTTGAAGGGATTCAGCAACGCACAGCATCATTTGCTCATGTTATTTTGATCCATTCTGTCAGAAGGCAGTGTTTATTTCTTCATGGATCAGGAGAGGCAAAAGGTAAAAGAACTGCATTTTTAACTCTCCTCCCTTAGCTAGAGGTGACAGAGGTGCTTGGTGGGATCTTTCCAATCTAACCATGAATTGGGCTTTTTTTCCTATGACTCCCAGACATATTTTCTTGCAGGTCAAGAATGCCAGCTATTTTTAAAGGGTGGTCCTGTCTTTGTGAGTGGAATCTGGAGAATGTTCAAGTTACTTAAAGTAACATTTGGTCAACAAAACTTAAGCTGCTTCAGGACTGTCGGCTTCAGGAGCACCTGGATTGTCCGCTTCAGGAGCACTGATATCTAAAATCCTATACATTCCTCCAGCTTCTCTCCCTTCATCACATCTTACATTCTGCATTTATCATAAACATTACAACACATTGGCTGCATCTATATGAAATGCTGACTGCGCAGTTGTTACTGTGCAGTCATTTAGTACTTGCATACTTAAGTAGTAAATGACTGCACTGTAACCAGTTACTGCTCAGTAGATCCCCAAACAGCTTCTTAGTGACACTGACTGTGCAGTAGCCCGTTGCTACTGCACAGTAGTTGATTACTACTGTGCAATAGTGTCATATCACACTTTGTGCCATGCAAAGCTACTGTGCAGTAGTAATGTGCTATTGAGTAGTCAGTCTCTCATGTAGATGTATTGAGAACTGTTGCATGTGAGAAAGCAAATGAGCAACTCAGCTGGTCAACAGCTGTACAAACTTTATCAAGGCTCTTACGGGAGCAGCTCATCATGAAACTACAGCAGAGGCTGTTTGTTAACAGATGATGAGCAACAACAATGCAGGATGCAACAAGGATCAGACCAACTGTCTCATACTGGAGGAAGTGGCAGGGGGAAGAAGTGTGTAGAATTAAACCACTGGGCATTAGAGAACATAAAGATAAAATGGATAAGAATCAACAGTGGAATTAATTATCCACTAATCTTGAAAGGATGTCAGACTGTAAAGTCAATGTGAATCAGGCATATTAAATATCTTGTAAGATCAAGCCTTCAGACAACTTTTATAGGGAAAAGATATGGGAAGAGATTTACCCTACAAGGACAATTATGCAACTGCACTCATTAAAGGTTGAATCCTGCCACTAGAAACCACCCCCTCTTGCCTTTCCAGGCTCTTGGATATCACAGTGCTTGATGCCTCAGATATACTTAAGAGAATTTTATTGTAACCCTGTGTCTAATCTGTTCTGTTTAGACACCTGTTCTGATTAAACATCTAAAGTAGATGGTCTGCCACCCTCCAGTCGTCAGTCCTTGCCTGCCCGCCCTCCTGATGTCCTGGTGGCCTAGCTGTTCTTGCCTGCCATGTTTTTGGGCCTTGTTACACAGTAATTTTGGGCAGCTCCTGAAGATCTTAATACCTGGATTGTTCGTACCTTAACATCTAAAACAAATTTTAAGCACTCGCTAGGCAGCTCAAAGTTATGCCATTCCAGGGCAGGATTATCTCTGATCTGTGTTACCTACTTCATGTTACACTAAGGTGTAGCCCCTTAGAGTAAATACCCCACCTGCCCCACTTCTGCTGCTGACCCAGATCAGGTCCACTGCCTCTCCATTGTCCCCAGCACTCAGATCCCCACTCACTGTCCCCCCCATCTCCCTCCCCTGCTTTTTTGTAGCTGCCTGTACTCTGTCCCAGGGGAGTAGGTAGGGAAGGGTTCACCTGCCTGCCTGGGCCACCACTGCTGCTCATCAAACCATAATAATATATTTGATAACATTCTATAAGGAAAATACATTGGGGAGCAGGCCTTTTCACTGGTGGATAGTAGTCATTTGCTAAATTCAGAGTTGGGAAACTCCAGGAGCTCCCCAGAATCAGAATGTTTTGCTGCTACTTCTGAAAAAAGTCCCTGATGCCAACCAGGTACATATGACTCAATGGAACTCCAAAATGAATTTTAGAAAAGGTAGGAGGATATGGTAGAAGAGAATGGAAGTATGTATGCAAAGTATGTTTATACTTTAAAGAGATTTGCTCTGAGATTCTGGCTGATGATCTGGCATTCCTTTCTTTCCTGTAGAAATTTTTTTATCTTAGCTATAATACTAGTTTAAACTTTCCAAACAGCATGGACGGTTTGATTTTTAGGAAATCAACTCCTCTTTCACTACATTTTTCAGTCCATGATCTTCACATGGAAAACATCTCATTAATAGTCTGATTTATGGTAATAAAATTAGGACATGGAGATTTGAAACTTAAATTCCACTTTAACAGAGGTAGGACAGGCTCATTATGTTTTATGATGCTATTAATAAAATATCTTAATTGGGAAACAGTTCCTGGGATTTTTTGCATTGAGGTCACTGAGTGAAAAGAGTTGTTGGCCTCAGCCTAAGTGGGAGACACACAATTGAGTGACAGCCCCAGTTGAACCCTAAATGCAATCTTCATGGAGGCTTGCAGCACCACAGGGAAGGGACTAACTTCTCATTCAAGAGCATCTCTCCAGGTCAGATCTGAAGTGCTCTAATGTAGAGTTCAGAATCTTGCCTTGCTGTTTCTGAATTGTAGCCATTCTACAGATGAAGAAAGCAAAAGTCAAAAGGCATGAAAGCAGAAACTGTGAAGAAATTACTCTTAGACTACAATGCAACACGTACAGTTTGTGCTTGGTAGGCTTAAAAAACCCAGGAACAAAATTCTGCTCTTGCATCAGTATTTTGAATGTCAACCTGTATGCTCTCCTTTCCCTCCATGTGTAAAATTTCCATTGGGATCAGCTGGGGAAGCAGTCAAGACCCAAGATGAAAATTCAAGAGCAATAGCTTGAAACCACTCAGTGATGATGAGGAGAGAGATTTGAAAAAGGTCAAAATAAAATGGTTTCCTTTTGTCTTAGCCTGGTGGGATGGATTCAGAATGAGGGACAGAGACGATGCTAGGAGACAGAGCTCTTCCTCATCAGTACATATTCAGGGATACCTCTATTTGATGGTTTACCATTCACCTGTATAAAGCAAGTCTGTTGACCTCAATCATTTGCTGCTGTCCAGTATTCCTATCAATCAAACCAACATCACCATGCCTGGCATTCATAGGACAGTTTTTTCAGCCTTTACAGAAGAGGCCAAGTGTATAGGCTGGCTGACCCTTTCCTCTTCAATGTCATAGCTGAAATACATGCCCAGGAAGTGTGAGCAATCTCAGCCTAAAGAAAAAAAAACACTTATGTCCTCAGGATTGTCAGAAACTAATGGCCATGATGCCATAAGGCCCCAACTCAAACCCCTTGAAGTTCATGAGAATCTTTCCACTGACTTCAGGTTTTTAGATCAGACCTGTGATCCCATGAAATTTACTACATATATAAAATATATTCAAAATTATTTAAATGAAAGGCTTTACCTGTGGCCTGGGACCTGATACTCCAGATTTTCCATTATAATGACTGTTCTAAAAGCAAAGCCACTTCGACCTCTGGAGTCTGCCACTAAGATTATAGTGGTACAGACAGGTGCTGGGATAATAATATTTTCTTTATTATACATAGGTCCCTATGCTTGCTGGGGTCAAATCAGCATTGCTTTCTGACCTGGCCATAAATAATGGCATGAGTGCACAGTAACACTGTTGGCTTCAGCTGTTCAGTCTCTGGTTCCTCCTGTGCTCCTGTACTGTAGAATGATTGTCTTAATGAAATGCTTTTACTATATGCCTTGCATACCGATCATATTCTCCTGACTCTGTGCAAGGGATGTGGAACATATTTCCATATGGCACAAAGGAGGGGGGGAAAACAAAACAGGAAACACAGGGCTGGCAGCCTGACAGCTCAGGCTGCATCCTACATAATGCCCAATAGAAAACAACCCACAGGGTCTTGGCAGCTAGCCCATGGAGGGTCAGTTTGACATGGCAACTAGTCTTTATCCTCCTCCAGGTTGAACTTTTCACAGTGGATTTTTTGAAGAAACTCTCTTGGTTGTCCTAAGGGAATGAACATGTATGAAAGGAATACATGCATTACAGAAAGCAAGGGAGCATATTGTGTTGATACTTTATATTAAGGAGACGTGAAATCATAATCATATTCAAGACCTATGTGAATACAGTAGTTACCACATTCAGAACAATAAAGAATAAGGAAAATCATCAGTAATTCACCACTTGTAATATATATCTACTCTAACAAATGTCCTTTTGCACTACAGCCATATTTTAGGGCTTTATTACCCTGGACCTCTCTTTCTGTTTGGTCAGAACAAACTCATTCCTCTCACCTTCTGTACCTGTATGAATGGAGCATCATTGGATTACAGTGAAAACAGTCCTCAAAACTGGATGGTTCTTATGCAACTTCTGACTTCCTTCTCATGCGTCTACACATTTATGAATGCGCCATGCTTATTGCACATTAAGCTTAGTACTTGTATAATCAAGTACTAAATCAATGCATAGTAATCAGTGCTACTGGGCATTACCATCAGTTCACGCCTTTTTAGTGACAGTCCTGTGCAGTAATGTATTAGCACTGTTTTTGATGTGACATGCTACTGCACAGTAGTATTAGGCTACTGCGCATTTAGCATCCTGTGTAGACACTCTCACAGACTATTAGAAGTACATTGTACATCTGGCCGAATGCTGGTATAGGCAACTGTCTTTTCTATGTCTTCTAAGCCCTCATGGAAGATGCAGTATTTTTCTGTAGGACACCGATTTAGGGTCAGATTTTCAGAGGGGCTGACAGACTGCAGCTATCTCCGACTTCAGTGCGAGTTATAAATGGTCAGCCCTACTGATAAGCAAGTCTTGAAAGAGTCCTAGAACACAGTCCAACAAGGTGCTGAGCCTTTTGGCCACAAGCCAGCAAAACATTCCTCTCTCTATACAGTCACTGATGTCTGTCAAATGCTTATGGGTCTTTGAATCAGAGGCATTATTATGAATGACAGCTAATTTTATCATCTCAGAATGCCACTTTTAAAGTGCTATACATACTGTAGGTATAAAGTATTATATTTGTCCCAGGGCTTTCATAAATAAAAGACTCCAGCCACAAGTGTGGAAAAGAGTGATGCCAAACTAGCAAGTGCAAACTATACGATAAATATAGTCTGACCCTAAATCAGTGTCCTACAGAAAAATATTGCATCTTCCATGAAGGTTTAGAAGACAGAAAAGACAGTTACCTGTACTGTCATTCAGACAGATATACAATGAACTTCTAGTATTTTGTGGGAGTGTCTACACAAGATGCTAAATGCGCAGTAGCCTAATACTACTGTGCAGTAGCATGTCACATCAAAAACAGCACTAATACGCTATATGTGGGATCTTTTTGGTTTCTTGCCCAATCAGACAACAGGTCACAGGGGCATTGTAACAGGAAACCCTGTTACTGGAGAGCAGAGTGACCCTTTTAAGGGCAGAGTCTTTATAGCACAGGCAGCCAGCAGAGAGGGGGTTAAGGGACAGCCAGGTCAGCTGGCTGCAGGCATCAAATGACCAGAAGGCAGCTCAGGCCAGAGCTATATAAGCCCTGGAATCCAGTCAGTCAAGGAGGTTAGCCCTGAGAGTCATGGAGTACCTGACAGCAGCATGGTGGGGACCCCCAATCTACAGTGGGGGCTTGGAGAAAAGCAGCTCTGCAGGCTTAGGAACAAGGAAGAACTACCTGGGGCATAGAGAGAGACCTTCATTATGCAGGTATGTGGTCTTTGTTTTATGTTAAGACCAGTGAGGGTTTGGTGCAGAAGGCTGAAGTGTTTTAAGTTACACTGGTGGTTTGGGTTTGGGATTAGAGGGGTGGTTTGGAGGTCCCATTAGTATCCTAGGAGCACATGATTGTCTTGAGCGCTGCTGGAGGCAGGTTCCAGGCAGAGCAGGTGCAGAGCCCAGGGCTGGGGCTCAGAGGCCAGGCCTAGAACAGTGGGCCTTGGCTGCAGGACCAGCCAGAGTCGAGGGGTGGAAGCCAGGAGGGTTAAAACCTCAACAAAGGAAGAAAGGCCTGAAGTGGCCTGGAGACATAGGGACAAGTGTCCCACCCGACTGGTGACTCAAAACACCTGCAAGTCATGGGGGACAGTGTAGGGCAGGAATGGAGCCATGCAATTAGCTTTTAAGGCATTGACCCCCAACATCTGGGGATGATTAATGCAAGACCAGGGCAGCCTCCTGTGCTTTAATAACCATTTACATCAAGACATGGTGGGTGAAAGAAGGGTGGACTGCCCGGAGAAGAGGGTGCAAGGAATCTGGTCAGACTCCAGGGGTTTCATGGCCACCCTTTTGGAGATGATGCTCTATGACAGGCATACTCCAGCTGAAAAAAAGTCAATGTTTTCAGTAGATTCTGCTTTTGCTATAGAAGGCTGTTTCATAGATAAATGAGAGACCATTAACATTTCTGTGTGCCTTTGTTTTTAATATTCAATGACATAACTGTAACCAGCTAACAAGAGAGTCCACTGTTACATACTTGCTGTGCTTAACCCAAACTGTCCTTTCTTAAGAACTGAAACTAAAAGTTGGTGATCTGTGGTCAACATGAACTTTCCCATGTAGATATTAGTTAAATTTCTTCATTTCCCATACCAGACTTAAAGCTTCTTTGTCTATCTGTACATAATTCCATTCTGCTTCTGTAAGTGATTGTGATGCAAATGCTATGGGCCATTTAATACCACCAGCCACAGTGTAACAGCCCCAATGTCATGTGAGGATGAGAGGTTAAATTGAACCCATCATTCGCTAACAGAACACCAACCCATAGTCTCAATTTTGCAACCTAAGGAAAGAATGTACCCTAACAGATGTGACTGACCTTTTTCCTTCTAGGAAAGCTTTCTGTTGCTCTTGTAGCCAAACCCATTTGCAGTTTGGTTGAAGCAAACAATTTAAAGGATACAATACAGTTGCTAGTTTAGTACAAATCTACTGTGCTGATTAATAATTCTAGAAATGATATAAGTTGCAAAACATTTTGGCTGCTTACAGATGTGAAAAAACACCACCAAAACAGCACTTTCAGGTCAGTGTGACCCTGTGCCAAGCACAGCGCATGCCCAGAAGAGGCACATTAATCTAACCTGACTTGCCCGATATTTGTATAGATTGTGTACTTCAGCAGGGCTTTTTGGCACTTTTATCTAATAGCTAATTGAATTAGCTATTAGGTAAAAGCGCCAAAAAACCCTGCTGAAGTACACAATCTATATAGATGCTGAAGATCCGGATCAAACTAACGTGCTTCCTCTCCTGGTAAAGCGCTGTCTCTTTCTTTTTCATGTCTGTCAGTACCCTTTTGACTCTGGCATTTTGGGAACAGCTTTAATCATCTCTTGAGATTTTATGTAGGCCTTGCACATCAATAACATGGCCACAATAAACAACTGTCTCTTTGGAAAAATTGACATTATGTACAATTTGCTCACAAAACATTCTTCTTGACATTCTAATACTCACTCCCTTCGAATTTTGCAGACGTTCTTCATCCTTTTCACCAGTTACAATGTCATCCAAATAAGGTTGTGTTCTTGACATCCCATTGACACTGTGTTCTTGACATCTGATCTATTGCTCGCTGCCATATAGCTGGAGGAAAGGGAATACCAAACACTATTATATTTGTATAACCCTTTTTGCATATTTATGGCGAGATAAACCTTTGAATCTTCAACTTCCATCTGCAAGTAATCTTGAGCTAAATCAATTCTGTTAAATCTCTACCACCCTTGCTAATGTGGCAAAAATATCTTCAGTTTGAGGTAGGGAAAATGTATCAACTTTCTGTACAGGGTTCATAGTAACCTTAAAATCACCACTACCTTTACTGCACCATTTACAAAAAAAAATCATTGGCACTGTAGGCATGCCCCGCTTACTCCAGGCTACTTTTGAAAGTATGCCTTCTTTTTCTTGATGGTTCAATTCAACATCTACCTTGGTGTACAGGTTGTAAGGAACAGGCTGAGTTATTTTTTAAACTTGGCCTGGGAATTTTCATCTCTACTTATTCTCACTTTGATATGTTTTAAAGTTGCTATTCCTTCCCTGACCGCTAAAAGAGGCCTGGTTAAATATCCCTTCCAGTTGTTGTTTAACTGCTTCTGCAGGAATCTTTAAAAGTGCCTATGGCATCTTTACACAATTCCAGAGCAGGGGAATTTTTTTTAAACCATTCATGATGCCACAGAGCAGGTTCCCCTTTTTCAATAACATGTAGCTCTAAGAGGCACCAATTATTACTATTCTATTCTACAGGCACTCATAGATTCATAGACACTAGGGCTGGAAGGGACCATGGAAGATCACTGAGTCCAGCACCCTGCCCCAAGGGCAGGAAGTCAGCAGGGATCATAGGATCCTAGCAAGATAAATATCCAAATGTCTCTTGAAGGCGTTCAAGGTAGGTGCTTGAACCACCTCCGGCAGCAGTCTATTCCAGACCTTGGGGGGCTCGGACAGTAAAGAATGTCTTCCTTATGTCCAACTTGAAACGGTCATGGAGGACTTTGTGATGATTTGACCTTGTCATCCCTTGGGGCGCTCTGGTGAACAGACGTTCCCCCAGATCCTGATGAGCACCCCTGATAAACTTATAGGTGGCCACCAGATCACCCCTGAGCCTGCACTTTTCCAGGCTGAAGAGTCCCATGGCTCTCAGCCTCTCATCATAAGGACTGTATTCCTGACCTCTGATCATGCGCGTGGCTGTTCTCTGGACTCTCTCAAGCTTCTCCACATCCTTTTTGAATTGTGGAGCCCAAAACTGGATGCAGTACTCCAGCTGCAGCCTCACCAAGGCTGAGTACAACGGGAAAATGACGTCCTGGGATTTCCTTAAGAAGCATCTATGGATGCAGGCCAGCGTTTTGCTCGCTTTACTAGCCACAGCATCACATTGAAGGCTCATGTTCATCTTGTGGTCAATCATGACCCCCAAGTCCCTTTTGTCCATAGTGCTAGCCAGCATAGCACTGCTGAGCCTATAAGCGTGCTGCAGGTTTTTCCTCCCAAGGTGGAGAACCTTACAGTTTTTGGTGTTTAAACACCATCAGGTTCTCATCTGCCCATTTCCTGAGCCTATCAAGGTCAGCCTGGATCGCTGTCCTGTCCTCAGGTGTGAACGCTTTACCCCAAAGTTTGGTGTCATCGGCGAACTTGGCCAGTCCACTTCTGACACCAATGTCTACATCATTAATGAAGATGTTAAACAGTATAGGCCCTAGGACAGAGCCTTGGGGGACCCCACTGGTCACAGAGCACCATGACGATTGACTTCCATCAACCACCACACTCTGGGTCCTATCGCGGAGCCAATTCCCCAGCCAACAGATTGTGGTGAGGCCGAGGCTGCAGTTGGCCAGTTTTGCCAAGAAGTGATCATGGGATACCAAATCAAAGGCTTTTTTAAAGTCAAGATATAGGACATCAATCTCTTCTCCGTTGTCCAGGTGATAGGTCACCTGGTCATGAAAGGAAATGAGATTGGTCAAGCAGGACCTACCCGCAATAAACACGTGCTAACTATTCCTCAGGATGTTGCCATCAGCCAATCTTAAAGATGGCCTCTCTGATGATTTTTTTCCAAGACCTTCCCCAGGATAGAGGTCAGGCTGATGGGCCTGTAGTTTGACGGATCCACTTTCCTCCCTTTCTTGAAGATAGGCACCACATTGGCCTTCTTCCAATCTTCAGGCACTTCACCAGAGCACCAGGAGTTCTTGAAGAGCCGTGCTAGCCAGGTCCCTGAGTACCCTGGGGTGTAAACTGTCAGGGCTGGCTGGCTTGAAGGTATCCAGCTTTTCAAGGTGTTCCTTCACAAGGTCAGCACTGATGGAGGGTAAGGGATCTCCCTCATCCAGGTCTCCCTGACCTGTAGTGGGTAGGGGCATCCCATGGAACTGGTGAAAAACTGATGCAAAGTACCCATTTAGCAACTTTGCTTTTTCTTGGGCATCGGTTGTCAGTTGTCCCATCTGGTTTAGCAGGGGTCCAATGTTGCCCTTGCTTTTCCTTCAGCTCCCCACATATCTAGAAAAGGACTTTTTATTGTCCTTGATACTTGTAGCTAGTTGGAGTTCCGTCACAGCCTTGGCTTTCCTGGTTCACTCCCTGCAGGACCGGACCAGTTTAGAGTATGGCTCCTTGGTGGTGGATCCAGTCCTCTATCCTTTGTAGGTCTTTCTTTTAAGACGCCAAAGGTCCGCTAGTTCCTTGGAGAGCCAAGGAGGCTGCTGTGCCCTTTTGCTGCCTCTCGTCCAAGACGGGATTGACTTTGCTTGTGCATCCAGGATAGCTCCCTTAAGCAGCAACCACTTGTCCTGCACTCCCCTCCCCTTTCAGTTGTGGCCCTTTAGGGCCTCATTGACAAGCCTCCTTAGCTTGTCAAAGTCAGCTTTCCTGAAGTCAAGTACTTCTTTATTACTGACTGACTTGCCAGCTTTACGGCGGATGTTGAAGGTGATCAGCTTGTGATTCACACTGACATAGCCCTATTTGCCACGATCTTCTCATCTGTATGCTTTTAACAACTCTGGTGCCTTTCTTAATTTTATATTTTTTAAAAGTTTTTTTTCATATTTAAATATGAGATAATAGACACTAAAGCCTGTCTCCAACTCCATTTTAAGGGTTTTCCCAGCAACCCCAGCATGTCAGCCGGATGGCTTTTTAGCACCTTTGTTATACATTATATTGGCCTAGACTAGTTACTGCATTCTTGCTATCTTTGTCACTACTGCTCCTATCTATTACATATATCTTTCTATTTCCTTTTCTATACTTTACCTTACTCTCTTCTTTATTTCTCTTAGCACAGCACACAGCTTGGATATGTCCCTTTTTATTGCAACTTCAGCAATGAAGTTCTTTAAACCAAAAATTAGCTGGGGCATGGGATCCTTTTCCACACCTATAACACATCTGGCTGCAGAATGCACTGACTCATCTGTTGCTTATTAAATTCCTGTTTCCATAGGCACTCCTCTATGTGATTCAATGGCACCTTTTGCTAGTTTCCATAGCTATTCCAATCTCAGAAGCGCACTTAAAGATGAGGTATTTCTCTGCTAAGAGCCTCTTTTGTATGGCATTGTCAAGTAACCCCCACACCATTTTTTTTTTTTCTCCGAGGACCTCATTCAGTCCATCCTTAAGATTACAGTGTTCTGACAATTTCTGTACCAATATTGTAAAAGAAAATAGATTTACCTTCAAGTTTATTTATTAAACCTTTCTGCAAGAATCAATGGCCTGGGTGTCAGATGCTTTTCGACAATTTTGACTAAATCTTTAAAGGGGTTACTTGCTGGCTTTTCTGGGGTGAGTAGGCTGCAAGTATATTGTGTGTTTCACCTCCCATCAAACTCAGTAATGCAGACAGATGTTTCCATGAGAGAAATCTCATTTACTTAAACTGTTCCAACCATTCTATATATCTGGGCCAGTTTTTCCAGAGTGTTATCATAAGCTCCAGCTGTCCCAGTACAAGTAGCCATTTTGGGTTCCAACAGATTTCAAGTACTTGCAACTAAAACAAATTCTTCAGGTTGATTTATTGCATGCCCTGTTCATAGGATCCCATTCTCATTGCCACTTATTAAACTTGTCCCAGGGCCTTTACAAATAAATTAATCCAGCCACAAGTATAGGAAAGAGTGATGTCAGACTGGCAAGCACAGAATATATTGTAAATTAGGTAAAACTATGCATTCATTTCCATTAGCAGATTCAACATGTAACAACAAAGTAACTTTAGATTCACACATCTGGGTAACCCCTGGTAGGGCTGTGCAAAATTTCGCCGGCTGTTTCATTTCGACACTGTTTCAACTCATTTTGAGCTCGAAACAGCAAAATCGAAACAAAGGGTTTTGAAACAGCCTCAAAATGAAACGAGGGCAGTCAAAACATTTTGAAAGTTTCAAAGCTCAAGCTGAGCTTACCTGCAGGGAAACAGAAAGTAAGGAAAGGGAGGGGGAAGAGAGGAGAAGTACTGTTCTGATGTTGACTGTGTAGCTGGCCAGTGACTGTGATCCTTCCTTGAGGTCCCTTCCAATCCCAGTGCTCTGGGGGAGGGATGGAAAAACAGCATAAAAGGCAGCATTGTTTGACCTGGCCTGCTTTCTGCCTTGAGGTCTGACAGTTACTGAGCTATCTTCCAGCATTTCAGGAGTGTTGGACAATGAAGGCTACTACTCGCATTGATCTGAATGATTTCCTACTTGCTAGCCTAGCAAGTGCTATTCCATAATACCTTTTTCTTTCTTCTAGACACTTTTATTTTATAATTATATTAATTTATTTATTCTTTTTATATTGGATATTACACTATAGAATTTATATAGCAAGGGAGATGCATTTGTATTTTATTTCTATACATTTATACCTGGCAGCATATACTACATACCTTATAGAATTTATATAGGAACACAGATACATTTATATATTTGTATAAAAACAACAAGACACTATGAAACACACCATGAAGCATGGTGAAAAGGCAGCTGGCAAGCCTTCAGTGGGGGATGGGAGAGGGTAGAGGGTAGCGGGAGAGGTGTAAGTTCCCCGCTCCCCCCAAACTGAGCAGC